CAAAGATGATAAAGTTTCCTCTGTTATATAAAAACAGACACCTGACATGTAAAGAATGTATAAGGAATCAATAGGTTAAAGAAATCCATGTCAAAAGAATGAAAAGTCTTTTAAAAAAATGCTGGTAACTTAATCAATCATATTGAAATTCCTTGGTTGTACGAGGCCTGTGGTTTGTCATCACTGATCAGTGTCTTGGTCAATACTGCGTTTTTATTCTGTGTAAAGTGATGGTCAATCCATCAGTGTCCACTACAACACAGACCAGTCACCTGTCACTAGAAAAGACTTCTGCTTAACTTTTCAGCATCATTAAAAAGTAACATGATCATCCATGCAACTTTTAATTGAGGTACATGGTATAAAAAAGGAAAGAGGTTCACATAAGCAATAATTTCGATAAATAAATAATTAAATGTGAAACTAGAAAGAATATTTTACAGCATTTAAACAACAGTAATTTTATTCCAATAATGAAAATTGTACTGTCATTTTTTATTTGTCAATAAAAAAAAAAATGGATCCCTATGGACTGCAATACCCCTGTGAGTGCCCCATCAAGGTTGACCTGTACTCAGTTTGTGTTTTATGATAATGTAACATGTGATGATGCTCTAGAGTTTATGCTTTGGACCAGCTGGACCCGAGTAAAGACAGTTGCCATGATTACATGGTAACTAAATAATATGATTGCTTGCTCAATCAGGTGTAAAACTCATAGAGAAGTCCAGACTCTGCCTCATTCCAAAGTCATTAACTGTCTTCAGTTAATTACATTTTTATTTACACCATAATCTTGTTTTGCTTTTTATTTGAAAACTTCATTTTTTTTTATTGGTCCAACAAAATGGCCCCTTCACTTGTACTGTAACTACACTGCTGCTCCCTTCCTACCACATCAAAAAAATGTCTGTAGATAAGTTCCTCATCAATTGTTATTTCATTAATCTTCTCATCTTTTCCATCTTACTAACTGATGTACGAGACCTTCCAGGTAATCCTATCCCCTTTCTTTATCTCTCATTCTCTCCCTCCTCCATTTCTCCACTATTCACTTCTATTTCTCCTCCTCCCCACTTTTCTCTCTTCATCAAATAAAACATATTTGTATTTTCCCCAGAATTTTTATATAAAGAGAGAAAATTAATTGTAACAATATCTTCAAAAATAAAATCTCAATATACATGTGTAATTTTCAAATGGATCACACATCCCCATTGTCTTCATTTGATCCTCATTATCAATGAGTTATCTTCCCCTGGTGCTGAGGTGAAGTTGGTGCAGAAAGATGGCCACTTTTTGTACCAAACTCTTCTTAAGTTTTGATCGGAACTGATACCATCCCTAAAACACAATGTCAAATCCCTTTCATTTCATCCACTCCCAACCCCATCAGAGTACTTTGGATTGATACCATGGACAGCTAAACAGAGACACGAGTGGGTCAAAGAGTTATTTTAAATATCACGTTTATAAAAAGAAATAAATAAGAAATTAAGAAGCAAGAGTTTTTACTAAAGAGAGGTTTATCAGTGTAACATTACACTAAACAGTGTAATCAGAGATCAAACGGTGATACTGACCTCCTCTCGAGTGATCTTCTCTTTTTGTTCCAGACATGGCCTCACATTCTGGATCGTTTTCATTCTCTTTTATCTTTTTGGAGGCATGTTCTCATACTCATCGAACCAGGTGACAAGTTTGTTTTCAGATAAACATTATAAATAAAAGTGCTTACATTTTTGTTGCTTTGTAAGAAAGTAATCTGACATAGACTTTTCAGTTTCTTTATATTCATGAAGGCAATGATTTTGCTGGTCATCCATAAGTAATTGTATGTTTTAGGTCTTTGACACAAGATTTTAATCAGTTTTCTGTTTCATTTGAATAGTATACTTTTACCTACAAATGAGATTCTATCAGTTTTCTGTTTCACAACCTATCTTTTGTTTCTGAGAATAACAAAGCATCGGGCGACTAAAGGCTGTCCCTCATACAACACCAAAATGTCATAGAGTTGATTTCCTTTGAAACCAACAGGAATCTATCTGTACCTGATGAAAGCTAATACAAATCTGTACGTATCTGTTTCAGAAATCCACTCCACTTTTACCAGGGATACCTTACCCTTGGTAACAAACAAGAAAAAAGATGTAAATGTGATAGAAATCTGAAATTTCGTTTTTCCTCCATAACTTTTTCTGTGTCATCACAAATAGACAAAACTGAAAACAAGTTGAATACGTTGTCGGGTCTCGAAGCCAACACATAAACATTCCACTATGAAATTGGAGCCAGTATTACTTCCATCCTATTTTCTCATAAAAAGTGAAAAGCTTGAATTTAATTTAAAGTTTGAATAGTGTTTGTTGCATTGTTGAAAAATGAGCCATTTATTAGAACATTAAGCTGGCTGGGTAGATTATCACTTCACAAACAAAATAAAACCTTATTTCACGATGAATCAACTAAAAGTAGGATTTTCTTTTATCCTAAAGTAACAAATATGAGCATTTGATAGTCTAAATTTGTAGTTGTCTAGCCTCAACAATAGCTTAAAAGATTACTTTTAATAAAGCACTAGATAAAACAGTCTGAATGACAGTGATCTATATCATCAGGAAGTTTCTACATATTCATGTACTTAATGGAATTCATTTTAAATTCTTTAAAAAGGTATAATTTTTCTCCCATAACTTGTTTTCCAAATTTTCTCAGGATTTTCGTCACATGCAAGTGAGATTATTATACGATAACTGATCCAAATTCTCAGTCCGTAACCTATTCCTATGAAAAACAAGTTTATCGGCACGCTACCACAAATGCTGTCTCTTTTCATGTTGCTTCATTTCCTCCTTTCAATCGAAACTTGTCACCAGAAAATACCTCCATTTCTGAAGATGTACATGAGCAACACGATGAACAATGGCAAAGTATTTTGATGTCATCACATAGGCTAAATGTCTCCGTTTCTGTTTCAATGTATTGAATGGTGAAACCTTTTATCAAAGACAAACAAGAGATATTCTCACCATCATGTTACACAAATTTCTAAAGCTGCTAAACCTGATTCCGAGTCTACTAAATCAGATGAGATGAAAATCTCTCAAGAGATAAAGGGTCTTCTTCAAGGTTCAGTACTTAGCCCTTTCTCAGGGGTGTTTCATTACCCTGTTAAAAACCAATTACATCTACAACTTTTACTGCTATTGTTTCTATTCCTCTTTAGAAATACACAGGTAATATCAATTACACATTTTGAAAATAGCTCTAGAAAATCACAAATACATTAACTTTCAATAGCCATGTTTTAAAATGTCTACAATGTTATTCTAACGATCACTTTTTTCATTTTATCTATTCACTCCCTTAAATACCTAGGTGATGTTCAGTTTACTCTGAAAATTTTAATCTTTTTGAAATCAAAATATGCAGTAGTTTATCTTATCCATCGTTGAAATAGAAGATGATTATTTATAAAAGAAGTTCAGAACTCTCTTTTGTACCAAATCTTATTTTCCTGAAGAAGCCCGAATGTTCAGGCGAAACCGGTAGACGTATTAATAAAGTTATCACACCAAAGATCCTAAGTTTGTTGCGATTGACCGCACCCCCTTCTTAAATCTTATTTCTGATTCCCACATAACAAGATGTCATTTTATTTCCCAATTCTGACATACCAAAATGTATACGATTCAAAAGTATTACAGATCTTTGCCTTTGATACTTGTTCATAACACTGAATAAAAAAATATCCAACCTTCAGATGAGGTTTGAAAGCTAAACACAATACTTCAATATGAAGGTGTGAAATGTGTTCACTTACAGGGAAGCTATTATTGAGAAGACAAAAATTTTAAAAGATAAAATGAAATTTGACTGAAACAGATATACTTCTTTACTTATGAAACCTAACAAGTTTGTGCCATTAAAACAATGAAATTCAAATTGTTTTTATTTAAAAGTTTCCTGCTATGAAAAAAGAGTCAAACTCAGAAAGGAAGGAAAAAATAGTGAAACAATATTTTTTTGTTTTGTTTTCAAAGCTTTGAAATTGTTACTGTATCTATGTATACGTAAATGATAGTTTTAAAAGTACGTCAAAACCCGAGTTTGCTTTTTTTTCTCCATTTCCCTGTAGACATGCTTATAATAGCAAGGGAAGGTTGTGTCCTACCATCTGATAGCTATGTTGGTCAGAGATAGCAATCAGAATACTGATTGTCACCATCATACAGACCAGGGAAATTAGTACTTTTGATAAACTTAACAGATATTTGTACGAAACTCCTGGGAAATGCCTTTTTTTTGTAACCTACCTCTCCCCTATTGTATCTGAGAACACTTGCTAGTACTTTGCCCTAATGTTTTAATCTTTTACATATGGATACGCTGTTTCAATTAAAATTTTCTAAAAAGAAATTCATTTCCGTTTACTAGTGCAGGGTTTGAAAAACATCCTGACAGACAGATCCATATCTAAAGCCAGCCACTGGATAAACCACAAAATTTTGTAATTTTATCTGAAACCTCTATCTGAAATTTAAAGGATTTGGCAAGAATTTAGATAAAAAGATTTAAAAAGGATTTACAAAAATATTACTTGTTTACATGGAATGAATATACTGTATTTCTTACTGATTAATGACCATCCATTTTAATTTTTGTGATAATAGTTTGCAACAAATAGATGTTTCCGAAATGATTTCTTTCAACATGGAATAAATTAAATTAAAAAAATGAATGTTATATATTCTAAAATAAAAATCGTTTAAGATAACCGTAAGCCATCAGATCAGAGTAATATATACAATTTCATTAAAACTAATTAATGCACATTTTAAACTAATCAAGCCCATGATTCCGTCCTTCATCTTGAATTAAACAATTCCTTTGTGGGTCTGAAGTGATTTACACTTCATTCTTATTCTTAGCTGTCAAATTAAAATGATGAAAATGACAGAGAGACAAAAAAAAAAAAATAAATGAATGAAACCTACTTGTTGGCTCTTCTGATTGGATGACCTGACTCCCCTCAGCCAGTGTAGCCGATGCAGGTGTACAACCAGCCATGACGGAAATCAGTCCGTCCACTCTCAATCCAAACCCCACCAAACTGTGACCACTGACTTTATTAACATTTTATATTGAGCATATAGCTTTACACTTCATTGAAATCTCAATCTGAAAATCTTTGGGTTCTTCGTTCGTTAAAATAAGATCACTGGTAACATGCAAGTGGATAGTGGTGTAATTCGATCGGGAAGCATTGTCTCGTGACTATTGACCGGTAACAGCCAAAGTCGAACTGATCAACTGTAGCCATTTTCGACTCAAGATAATACACGCCTACTTCACAATAGATTACAATCATCTTCCCTGACTTGTCTAAACAGTATGAGAGAGGATTTCAACTTATTCAAAAAGTTTTACAGTTACAAAAATCATGCTGAAAAATAATAAATGTATTCATGACAGGGGAGTCGGATCACCAAAATGGCGTTATCATATATTGATTATGAAAAAAGAATATTCTATACTAGGGTTAACACAGAACAAAAAGTCCTCATTTCAATGGAGTTTAATCTTTCTCATCTGAATTCTTGTGTCTTGTCTAGTCATAGACTCGGACAAAAGACTGACAAGTTTAGTCCCATTTCACTGTACAGGCACATTAGTATACATATCATAAAGTTACCAGACTGTTAAATTTCTAATTTGATTGTGTAAGTTTCAATTTGAAATAAAAACATGTCAATTGAAACTGTTGCTATTTTTTACACAATAAACAGTATACTATATACATTCATGGTCAGCTGATATACAATACTTATATGGTAATTCAGTTTGTAATCGCAAGCTGTAACCATGAATTTAAATTTTCTTTCCATTTAAAATTTGCAATAAAACCAATACCAAATTTCACCTTAAGTCCCAAAAAGGATATTTGCATCCCCTTTCTCATCTTCACCTTTATATACTCTCATACTCCACCTTAACACTTTCATACTCCACTTTCAACACTTTCATCCTCCAACTCCACATTCTCATCCTCCACCTCAACACTCTCATCCTCCACCTCAACACACATCCTCTTCCTCAACACACTTCCTCCGCCTCAACACTATCTTTCTCCACCTCCACTCTCACTATCCACTCCAACAATCTTATCCTCCAAACTAACACTTTCATCCTCCACCTTAGCATTCTCATCTCCACTCATCATGCTCACCTGCAATCTCACACAACACTTTTAAACTTCCACCTTAACACCTTTATCCTTCACCTTAATGATCACCTCAACTTTTTCATCGTCTATCATTTACCACAATATTCTTATTCTCCACTTCTACACTCTCATCCTTCACCATATCACTCTCATCCTTCACCATATCACTCTCAACCTCTACATTAACATTCTCATCCTCCACCTTAATATTCTCATCTTCACCTCAACACTTTCCTCTTCCATCTCAACACTCATCCTCCACCTTAACATTCTCATCTTCACCTCAACACTTTCTCATCCATCTTATCACTCTCATCCTCCACATTAACACTCACTTCTTCCACCTAAATGCTATATGGAGGAAACATCCTTGGTACCAGCTTCTCCCTGAGACTGCTATCCAGAGGAAACATCCTTGGTACCAGCTTCTCCCTGGGACTGCTATCTTGAGGAAACATCCTTGGTACCAGCTTCTCCCTGGGGCTGCTATCTTGAGGAAACATCCTTGGTATCAGCTTCTCCTTAGGACTGCTATCTTGAAGAAACATCTCAGGTACCAGCCACTCCCTGGGACTGCTATCTTGAGGAAACATCCTTGGTACCAGCCTCTCCCTGGGACTGCTATCTTGAGGAAACATCCTTGGTACCAGCTTCTCCCTGAGACTGCTATCTTTAGGAAACATCTCAGGTACCAGCTTCTCCTTAGGACTGCTATATGGAGGAAACATCCTTGGTACCAGCCTCTCCCTAGGACTGCTATCTAGAGGAAACATCCTTGGTACCAGCTTCTCCCTGGGACTACTATCTTGAGGAAACATCTCAGGTACCAGCCTCTCCCTGGGACTGCTATCTTGAGGAAACATCCTTGGTACCAGCTTCTCCCTGGGACTGCTATCTTGAGGAAACATCTCAGGTACCAGCCTCTCCCTGAGACTGCTATCTTGAGGAAACATCTCAGGTACCAGCCTCTCCCTGAGACTGCTATCTTGAGGAAACATCCTTGGTACCAGCTTCTCCCTGGGACTGCTATCTTGAGGAAACATCCTTGGTACCAGCCTCTCCCTAGGACTGCTATCTAGAGGAAACATCCTTGGTACCAGCTTCTCCCTGGGACTGCTATCTTGAGGAAACATCCTTGGTACCAGCTTCTCCCTGGGGCTGCTACCTTGAGGAAACATCCTTGGTACCAGCCTCTCCCTGAGGCTGCTATCTTGGGGAAACATCTCAGGTACCAGCCTCTCCCTGAGACTGCTATCTTGAGGAAACATCCTTGGTACCAGCCTCTCTTTAGGACTGCTATATGGAGGAAAAATCCTTGGTACCAGCCTCTCCTTAGGACTGCTATATGGAGGAAACATCCTTGGTACCAGCCTCTCCCTAGGACTGCTATCTAGAGGAAACATCCTTGGTACCAGCTTCTCCCTGGGACTGCTATCTTGAGGAAACATCCTTGGTACCAGCTTCTCCCTGGGGCTGCTATCTTGAGGAAACATCCTTGGTACCAGCCTCTCCCTGAGACTGCTATCTTGAGGAAACATCTCAGGTACCAGCCTCTCCCTGAGACTGCTATCTTGAGGAAACATCCTTGGTACCAGCTTCTCCCTGGGACTGCTATCTTGAGGAAACATCCTTGGTACCAGCCTCTCCCTAGGACTGCTATCTAGAGGAAACATCCTTGGTACCAGCTTCTCCCTGGGACTGCTATCTTGAGGAAATTCCTTGGTACCAGCCTCTCCTGAGGCTGCTATCTTGGGGAAACATCTCAGGTACCAGCCTCTCCCTGGGACTGCTATCTTGAGGAAACATCCTTGGTACCAGCCACTCCCTGAGACTGCTATCTTGAGGAAACATCCTTGGTACCAGCTTCTCCCTGGGGCTGCTATCTTGAGGAAACATCCTTGGTACCAGCCTCTCCCTGAGACTGCTATCTTGAGGAAACATCCTTGGTACCAGCTTCTCCCTGGGACTGCTATCTTGAGGAAACATCCTTGGTACCAGCCTCTCCCTGAGACTGCTATCTTGAGGAAACATCCTTGGTACCAGCTTCTTCCTGAGACTGCTATCTAGAGGCTAACATCCTTGGTATCAGCTTCTCCCTGGGACTGCTATCTTGAGGAAACATCTCAGGTACCAGCCTCTCCCTGGGACTGCTATCTTGAGGAAACATCCTTGGTACCAGCCTCTCCCTGAGACTGCTATCTTGAGGAAACATCTCAGGTACCAGCCTCTCCCTGGGACTGCTATCTTGAGGAAACATCTCAGGTACCAGCCTCTCCCTGGGACTGCTATCTTGAGGACCATCAACACTTAGAGAAATCCTGTGGATGAGACTTCTTTGAAACCAGGACACAAATGACGGGTAATATCTGATTGATATCAGCACAATTTGAGGTCCCTTCTGATACAACACCTGTATCTGCTTGTAACCCACATCATGACCATTAATCATGTATCAATTTTGTTACAAAAATCTTTAAAGATTCAAATTTCGCTTTTTGAATTTCAAGGCCAATAAATTGGAAGTTCAAAACTGATACAATATTTGAACAGCATGATTGTATAACATTAAATTTGGTTGAAATAAGACTGAAAAGGGGTGATCACACAGAATACTTATTGTCTTTTCAGTTTGAGTACGCCTGTAACTCAGGATGGCTTTAAAACCTTCATCTTTATATTGGTATGTCAACCCAGAGAGAGACAAAGTTTAAAATGAAATTATTTGCAATTTTGAAAATTAAATATTACAGAATTAATTTAGTCATTTTCAACGACAATTCTCAATGCCAACTTTCATACAGTTTACCTCACTTGAGTACCTGATCATCTTAAAAAGATCTCTTGTGGAGAAATCGTGAAGAGAATGACTGAAACTGGTGATTATTACATGAGTAGGGAGAGAGTGTGAAATTGAATACGTGTGAATTTTATGATCAGATTAGCATAGTGCAGGCAATTTTCTCTCCTCCATATCATTTATTTGAGAGAAGTTGAAATGTAACGACCACTGCCTGTACACAGAGCCATCAGATAACCTGTTATTAACTTTTACCTCATTACCATAGCAACGACATCATGTTGGATACAGAGAATGTGAGAACTTGTGGTTATAAGTTTGTCTCTCTCTGGTTTCTAATTGTCATTCCTTGTCTGGACATCATATATCTAACTTGACAGAGAAGAAAATCGAAAAAAAAAAAAGAAATTTATTTACAGTAGTTTTAAGCATTCTTTAAAAAAAGTAAACAATGCTAAATATAGAGTCAGTACAATGTAAGAAAATGAAAAAAAGGCAAAACTTTAGATGAAAATATTCCTGGGAAAAATCAAGACTGGTATTGGACAGCTGATGAATGTGGACTCTTCGGAAGGCCATATAACAAAATATCCTCACCTGAGTCGGACAAGTTTGATTAATTATATGACATCACGTCGGAGACAAGCATTAACTGTGTATAACAGGAAATCAAAAACCATAACGATAGGTCATTGGGGATAGTACGAATTAAAAATCCATGTTTTACCTGTGTTTGGGAGAGCCTGGTGATTAACACTTCCTGAATGGTTTACCTTCCCTTCTACAGCAGCAATTTGGACGACAAATACTGCTGAATATGCCAGAGAGCATTGCACGGAAGAATAGCTACGAAAAAGAGGCCAATTTTGAATAATGTAATGATGAGAAAATGACATTTTTTCCTACAATTTCCAACAATACATATTGTTTAAAGCTGTTCCTTGTCATGATAGGTGGTCATAGAAGGAGAGTTAGTCCTTCACGAAAAATGATCACCCTGGCTATAACGGACAAAAGACGAAGATGGCCGTAATTACAAGATCAATA